CCACCATCTCCCCCCTCACCCTCTCGCTACCTGACTTCACTACATCAGCAGACTACGAGAGAGAGGGATTGGTGACATTTGGATCCAGACTTGACATTGGGCTTCATACATTTGACGAGGGATTATCTGGGACTTGTACCGAAGACTTGGTGTTGATGACATTACCTCTTCTTCATCTGTGTATGGTCTGGACCTGGCGCATTCTTCCTGTGTGTAGCGCCAGGCCCCCTTCACACCTTGTGATGAAGATGATGTATGTTTGGTCCGCATTGCGACATCGACTGGGCTAGTCATTGGTATTCTAGCATTTCGCTGCGCTGTCTTATACTACGTGAGGGAGGTCAGTGTCGGTCAGGTCAGGGCTTATATCTAAGACTACAAATGGTGCTGAATAGCGCAGTGGAAGACTTAGATACAAGTCCTGACCTGACCGGGACTGAACTCATTCACGTAGTATAAGATAGCGAAGCAGAATGCTAGAATGCTAATGACTAGCCCAATCAATGTTTGAACGCAGACCAAACATACATCGTGTCCATCAGAAAGTGTGAAGGAGCCTGGCGCTGTACACCGGAAGGAAGCGCCAGGTCCAGACATACACAGACGAAGAGGAGGGGATCAGACGAAGAGGAGGGGGAGAGATGGGAATGTCGTCAACACCAAGTCTTTGTCACAAGTCCCAAATAATCCCTCGTTGCAATGTCTGAAGCCAAAAAGTCGAGTCTGGATCCAATGTCACCAGGCTCTCTCTCTCTTCTCTCGTAGTCTGCTGATCCAGTGAAGTCAGATAATGAGAGGGTGAGAGGGAGATGGTGGACTGAGAAGAGGAAGAAGAAGAACTCTCTCTCTCTCTGTTACGCGCCAGGTACTAACCTGTGAAGTTGGTGCTGTGCTGCAGGTACCTCGAAGACGAAGCTGGAGCAACGGCACTGCAGGTAAGTGCCTCAGGCCTCCGCCCGATCTCTCTCTCTCTCTAGTGCTATCTAGCTATGGCGCCCAGCGCTGGAGACTACAGCTACCTACTGCGCCCAGCGCTGAAGACTAAGGCTAACGCTACTACTACTACTGCTACTGCAGCGCTCCCTCCAGAGTGGTGCTGCCGAATCCTGAAGACTACTGCCTCCTGCCTCCCGGTGAAGTGCATGGGAAGTCCCTATGTACTACCTCGGCCTGCCTCCTGACTGCCTGGAGGGCGAGCCAGGCCGAGGAGGCTGCTCTTGCCAATGCCGAAGTGTGCCAGGAGCTGGCGCTGCAGCTTCTGCTGAGGCTGTCGTGGGAACAGGCTAAGAATAGCCTGTTCCCGAAACCCTGGTTCGGTGCCTGAGTTTCAGGGCCGGTCGTTCTGATGAACGACCGAAAATGGCCTTGCCCTCGTGTGCAGGCGCAGTATGTAACAGACGCCTACACCTACAGATCCTAAGATTCAGCTACCGGTAGGGTCTGGGGACTGCAATAATTGGGGACCCTGGAACAGGGTCTGAGAAAAATTGCAGTGTGAATCCATTCAAGTACACACATCACCTCTGAAAAAGCATGTGTAAGGCTTTAACACTGTAGAAATCGAATGTCATTGCAAGCTGTCCTTGCCATGGCGTGGCCTGTCAGGGTTCAGCTTCATGTACCAGAAATAAAAAGCAACGAATCAAGAACCTGAGTCCACATATGATGCAGGTTCATGTAACTTACGTAAAGAATCAAGAGTAAGGAGTTCATGAAGCCGCGCCATGACCACGTCTCTCTCGTCAAATGTTGTACGTGATCGCATTTGTACAGATGCCTCTGACAATCGAGCGTATCTTTCCTGAACAAGCGATCATATTCAATCCAATGTACATGATTGCAAGATTGATAAATTAATCACAAAAGTCTGAAAAAACTCACAAACAAAGAAATGACCAGAAGGGTTAACAAGTCCATGACCTTCTGTAAACTCACAACCAAAGAAATGACCAGAAGGGTTAACAAGTCCATGACCTTCTGTAAACTCACAACCAAAGAAATGACGCAGAAGAGTAAAACAGTCCATGACCTTCTGTAGAGAGAACTTCGGACATTTCGTAGGGGAAAGACATTTCGTATGGCATACATTCACCCTAGGACCTTTTTTCCTCCATGCATCTGTTCCATACTAGAGCTAAATCCAGTCGAAAAAGCTCTAGCACAAGTACACCCTTAGACATGGAGCAACAAGCAAATCAAATAAAACGAGCAGACAGGCTCTACACCCATGGTTGGAAAAAAAAAGAAGAAGAGGAACGCAATCAGGGTACACAAATTTTCAGTAACAGACAAATGTGGGATGATGACGTCATATTTTGACGAAGGGATTCAATCCTTCGAGCTCATCAAACTACAACGATGTCATTTTGACAAAGATTTCACCTCTGCGGGGTCCACCAAACTCAAGGTTTGAAGCACACCTGTGACGTGGTTAATGCGGGGGTCATAGCGAACAGGCCAGTTGAATCAGATTAAGTTTCAGTTTTTTTTCCCCCCAATGGACCACAAATCAGACATTGTTATATTAAACTCGTCAGAACAAATACCACTCTTCATCTTAGCCAAGAAAAACTAAGAAGTTGAAAACTGTTAGAACCAAGTTCTCATGGGTAATCCGTTCAAGCCCTCAATCATCATCAGGATCATCCTGATCAATCAAGTGACCAATGGCGTTTTAGAGTATAGTCAAATCAGAGCGCCTTCATCATCAACAGTCTTATCTCAACACCCTTGTCATCCAAGGACGAACGCCAAGTGCATGAACTCAGTATCGAGTAATAATACCTGAGTAACTCTGGGAATGCTGGACCAGCAACCCACTAATAGACTGCAGCAAGTGCCTTTGAGAACGGGTGAAGAAAAAAAGAGAGAACAAGGTCCACCTGGGTAACTCCATCATAGGAGCACACCCTTGTCATCTGATAACTTGTGACCATGGGTATCAGTGGTGGTGCACCTGCTGACGGTGCGGGTCAGCATCTGATGGGGCAGATCTAACCTCTGTAGGCAGGCCACGCAGTAGAGCCTAAGCTTTCAAAAAAAAAAAGGACATGTTGGACAACAAAATAAACGTTAACAGGGGGAGGGGGGGGAAGTGGGGGAGTTGGCAGAGGCTAAAGCATCATCCAGGATGGAGACGCGGTGGGTGCAACCGGAAAAACTACCTTAGCTTTTCCAGAAATCTGCAAGGAAAATGAGTAATAGCGAAGTACAGAATTCCAGATTTCAAATCACAATCAAAGCCAGATAGTCAAAAGCTGTCCAGAAAACAGAAATGCACTGATGTAAAACCGAAGGAGAACCAAAGCATCAAACTCAATTTTCAATGAAAGCATAGTCTCGCCACCACCAACAATGTAATCCAACCTCTTCCTCCTACTTGGCGCTCAGCGCGAAGACTACGATCACACAACAAGTCTACTGGCCTACAATTGACGAAACAACGAGTTGAAGTCACCAGCAGCAACTGAAGTACATGCACATGTCAACCATGTGTTGTCCAAAACCACGTACGCACTCTCACATCACTTCCTCAACTTCGTCTCCAACGTCTCCTCTCTACCCAGCGACCACCACCTTACCCCGCTCACCTCCTTCCAAGCTCAGCCTGGCTGTGGAGGGCTGAGCTGCGGCGCTGCCTTCTTGCAGCTCCCTGTCTCCCTCGCGATCACGCTCGCGTAAGCACCGAAGCACCTGCTCTAGCTCACAGCCAGAAGCCGTAAGTGCTTCCTCCAGCAGCGCTGCGGCACGCACTGAATTGGTGCCTGAATGAATGATGCACGGCCAGACACTTCCCTATATAGAAGCGGCCTGGCCTGTTCGCTGCTATGCCTGGGGCGCAGGCGTTTCCCCTAGCTTCCAATTGGGCCAAAGTGTCTGTGACTCTGCGCCCAGGCCCATTCAGACAGTGGCCTGGGACCGATTTGGTCGAGCATGCCCAACTATCCAGGTACAAACGTGTGGAGTTCCCTCCTTTTCCCCACGCTGCTGGAAGAACCTTGAAGGCTCACAAATATTTCTCATGCTTACGAGGAAGGTGGATTCGACCAACTGACGCATGGGAACTGTCTGGCACCCACCAAGGCTGTGAAAAATTGACAAGTTAGGGCTTCATTGAGTGTGGGGCCCACCTTCACTTAGGGCGGGCACTGGCTTGCTATAGGGGCCCCCTAAGGGTCATGCCGAGGACAGATATCTTCGCACCCCCTCCTCCTTTACTTCGATAGTCCTCTGAGAATCTTCAATAGGCAGGCTGCTTCCTTTTCAATCTTCTTTCATATCCTGAGATGACATGTGGAGCAGTCCTCATTAATTCTTCTCTTGTGAACCATCGGTCTTCTTTAGGATCAAGATGGCGCCTGAACCGCACTCTGTACTGGATCTGTTGCTTCGGAGGGTGTCCCCTGCCTGGAGGTGGGCACAGGCATAAGTCTGTGCTTGTTACATGCTGAGCCTGCACACGGGCCCCGTTTCGGGGGCCCGACGGCTGCGGGGGCCCCCCAGGCCGCACACCCTTCGGACATGCGCCCTGGAAGCCCACGGCCGGCCTTAGGGCCGCAGGATTTGATTTGAGGCAGCATCATGAAGTCTCCAAAAATAGTCCCCCAATGCCTCTGTCCAAATGTCGGTCTGAACCCAGTGTCACCAAGTCTCAACTCTCTCTCTCTCTCTCTCTCTCTCTCTCTCTCTCTCGTAGCAGAAGAAGAGGAATCAGAGGGAGGGAGGAGGAAGGGAAGCGATGGAGCTGGAGTGAGACGAAGAAGAAGAAGAATCCTCTCGTAGTCTCACCAAGGTGATGCAGGTGGAAGACGCCCGAAGACAAGCAGGATCTATGGCGCCAGGTAAGTCTGCAGGTACGTCGCCCATAGCCTGGCCTCTGCCTCAACCTCTAGTCCAACTACTCTGCCTACTCCTCTACTGAAGCAGCACTGGCCAGCAGAATGAGGCTCAACCTCTAACCTCTAGCTGCGTGTGCCTCAACCTCTAACTGTGTGTGCCTAGAATGAGGCTGGACCAGCTATCTATAACACTGGGCCTACTGTGCTAGGTCAAAGGAAGGCAAGTCTAGTGCCCAAACTGAATCCTGGACTGGTGCCCAGCTGAGCCTCCAAAACTGAAGCTGGCGCCCAAGCTCATACTGAAAGACTGCCGCCCAAACTCACTAAACTCCACTATGGGACTTGTATCGGTCCCACTCTGCTGACAGATACATGTGGACTAACGGAAGTGTCACTGAACCAGACGGAAACAGGAACTGGGACCGACCAGGGAAATAATGCTGAGGCCCAGGAAGGAAGAAGGAACCCCCTAATCTCCTAGCCAACCCTCTCTCCTACGATCGGGCCCAAGGAGCCCGTGTGGTGCATGCCACAATGGTGAATGATGATCGTGGGAAAGGGGCATGTTATGTAAATGACGCTGCTGGAACGCGAAAACTGAAATTTTCCCACTAGCTCTTGACTGGTACATCAGACTGGATGCAGCAATTCACCACCAAAGCATCTTAAAACATGTGCTGTGTCGACGCAAGATTGTGAGAAGGGTGGGGGTTTGGGGGGCGAGGGGGGTGCGTGCCGAGGCGAAGCAAGGGGGAAGGGGGGGAAGGGGGGGAAAGGAATGTTCCATGCATATTCTCAAGAAATGTGATGCCCGAATGACAGGAGACTGGAGTGGAGAATACAGTGCTGGGTCGATCTAGAGGCCCCACCGCAACAGGAATCTGAATCGGCAATGTTCTCGTTTACATTGAGCATCACATCGGATTTCTTTGATCTGCTTGCACTGATATGCAGAGAGAGAAGAGAACTGGAGGAAACTCATTTCTTATTTTGCGTTTCGGTTTGGATTACTAGGTAGGCGACGGCAGCTCACGAGAGAGAAGCTAAGGGCTAAAGATCCAGGTGAAGCAAGTGGGAGTGGGAACGAGTGATAAACTTTTCAGCAAACACAGCTGGGAAGAAAAAGGAACGAGGAATCTCATGATTTGGTCCTGAGCAAGACAGTGAGCGGGTAGAGGAGATGATAAGGGCAACACGTAAACTCACGATTCGCTCCAGAGCAAGGGATGCGAAGTCTTGGATCTCTGTCTGAATAACCCGTAGAAGATCATATGCATTTTTGTGTGACTTCGACTCCAGGGAGCCAGCCAATTGCAGGAACTTGTGCCTTGACTGCTGACTAAGCAGGTGGTTGATGAACTGAAGAGTCGGGGAGAGGAATGCAACAAATATACGATGAGACACGACAACACGGAAACCAGCGAGAGGTCAGCGTGAGCCGGAAACCGCCCAGACGTCAACATGACCAACCGCAGACAAAGACAAAGAACAAGGAATGCCAGAGCACATTCGCTTTGCAACCTCTCAGACAAAAACATCCATTTCCCCTGCCCTAAATTTGGACCTGCTTTGGACAAGGCCACTCTGTAAGTATGACCTAGGAAACTACAATCTGCACACAGTTGATATCGAACACCAAAATTATGGTTTACTATTTATTAGCACATGTAAACTCTTGTACTTAGAGGTACTTGTCATAAACTCTTCAGTACTACTTACTAATACTGGTAGTAATCAGCATAAGCTTACGATGATGAAAAATTACAAGCAAATCAATCATCAGCCTGGAAACTGGTTTGGCCGTGGAGTGGTGAACTTCGAGCATAGTCCAATGGTGTTACCACCTCTGCAGAAAAACAGAGCCAAAAGACATATCCGAGTCGATCCCGTATCTTCCCCAATATTCTCCGACATGGCGGCACCCTCAAATCCATACCGTCTGCCTGATTATGCCAGGGCAGCCATAGGCCCTACCTAGTGACGCATACCACTGAAACGGTAATCACCAGTTCGCAGTAGCGAATGCAGATCCCAGGGCTCGATCCCTAGTTCCCTATCTTACCTGTGTACAGTATTGATGTCAACCCGTAGACTTGAACCCGCGAMCTGTAGGATCGCCAGTGGTAGGCAGGGTTTYGTAGGTCACAGCTTAGAAGGGAATCGAACTGTAGACCTGTAGGGTAGGAGTCTAGACAGTTCCAAAGTCGTAGCTGTAGGATGCCTGAAGAGTCAAGGTCGTAGCTGCTACTTCCCTGAAAGGGCAAAGTCGTAGCTGCTACAGTACCGAAAGGCCAAGTTCGAGACTTCTAGAAGTGGCCTTTCGGAGTTGGCCTGTGTTCAGCAGAGCAAGTGGTCAAGTGGTGGTAGTCCACCTAGCCCAGGCAGCAGTCCCAGTTAGTCAGTCCGGTCCTGTTCAGCAAGTACCGTCTGGGAGTGTGTGCACATCATGGGCCAAGGGATACAGGGCAGACCAACGCAGCAATAAATCAAGAGGCTGCGTCCAGCCATTCATTCATTCCTGCAGATGCCATGCGGAAGCGCTGCCCCAGCAGCTTGTGCGAGGAGGTCTGCAGTGCGCCCGAAGACGAAGAGGGCAGTGAAGTGTAGTGTAGCGATAGGATAGTGGCAGCCATAGCTGCCATAGCTCTAGTAGCGTGTGTGTGTGTGTGTGTTGCGTGTAGAGTGTTGCGTGTGGGACATCCAGGGTGATCCAGAGTGCGAACAGTGAGTCGTGTGGGCGCTCAGTCGCCATAGCCAGTAGAAGAGAACTCCTACCTGGTTACGATATCTTGAGTACTGTGTGGGCGCATGTCGCCAGTTTGCTGTTTCGCTGTTTGCATGCATGACAAGT